CCTGCCTTCCAGGCCAAGGCCAAGGGCCCCAGGCCAGTCCCTGCCCCCAAGCCCCAGGCACCCTTTGTCTCCAAAGGTGTGGAGAGGATCGAGGACCCCGGGAGGTGGTGGGGAAGTGCTGCTGCTGAGAAGGAGGTCACCAAACCTAGCCTCAACAGCAGCAACAACAACAATGTGGAGGTGCTGTACAGCCAGGTGGTGAAGCCCCAGCACCTGCAGAAGAAGGAGCAGTCTGTGGATGAGTGCAGCTTGTCGCCTGTCTATGAGGACTTAGGAGAGATATAGGGTGCTGCTGCTCTGTATCTGCCTGGAGGGGACTTGGTGTCCCAGTGCCAGCTGTGCTCCTCCATGGGTCTGGGGTGGGGCTTAGGGGTGGGGACTGTTTGGGCTCGGGCAGAGCCCCTCTTGCTCACCAGCACTGAGAGGCTGCCTTTCCCTGGAGTGAAACAGCAAGAGCAAGAGAGCTGTGGCTGGCACAGGTGCCAGGGTGCTTCTCCTGCTCTGGAGCTGGCTCTGCTGCTGCCTCCTGATCGCAGGAAGCCTGACTGTGTTGTCCTGTAGCTGTTGCTCTGGTTCTGCTCTGGCTTCCCCTCTGACCAGGCTGCAGGGCTCGGATGCCCATTGTGGTGCATGGAAGACTGCTTGCCATCAGTCTTCAAAAGTATTTTTATATGAAATTATTTTAATATTAAAGTCTGTATGTCTCAGAATGACACGTTTGCCTGTCTGAGCTGTCAGGATGGATGGGGAGATGCTGGTCCTGCTGCGGAGCAGCTGAGCACTGTTCATATGGTCACACATGGGTGTCTGTGCCAGAGTTACTGAGCTAAGGGGGAACAACAATGAAAAGTGCATGCCAGATTCAGCTGTGGCTGGGATGCCCTGATGCCAGGGGATTAAGGGATGTGAGAGTCAGGCTCACAGATATCTTTATGTGCTGATCAGGGTATGGATGTGATGGCCTCCATGCATAAGGCTGGGTAGGGACAGGCTCCAGCTCTGCTGCAGCTCAGTGGCTGTTGATTAGTCACAGGATCTCTTCTCCCCCAGCTTGATCCCACTGCTGATCTCCCACTGCTCCCGAAAGGCCGGGGATAGCCCAGTCTGGATCCCATTGACTTAAATGGCAAAATCTGCGATCCCTGCTCTGTGGTCTGAGGCTGATTGCAGTGTGGCCAGCCTTGGGCAGAAACCTATGCAGAGGAAAAACAGGTTGTCCTTTTGGTACTGGTAATGGTTTTGAGAGATTTCATGTCCTTCTGTGTAGGGTCAGATGAGGCACCCTGGTACTGGCTGCACCCATGTCTGGATGGGGCTGCTGGTGACTTCTGCAGGTTTAGCAGCCTGTCGATACTGACGGCAGCATGGCAGGCAGGCAGGAGACAGCACTGTGCTGTACCTGTGCAGAGGGCTAAGCACGACTTCTGCAGCCCTACCTCAGACCCAGGGAGCCAAAAACTGCTGGGGAAGTCTGGAGGATCAGGTTCAGGTCCTCAGGCTGGTGAGATGATGACAAGGTGGTAAGCTCTGACTGGCCATTTGTCTAATGCCCAAGTTGCAGGGGGAACCCTCAGCCCTGTCACAATACAGCTCAGCTGTAGCCAGGACCAATTTGTGGCTGTTCTGGGCTGGGTTGTCTTCTCCATTGGGGTTTTGCTGCATGAAACGGGAAAGAAGTCTAAGGGGTTTTGGGAATCTGAGGGAGGCTGAGGCAGTTCCTGCTGGGATGAGGGGCAGGAGAAGAGGGTGTTAGCTGCTGGGTGGTCCCTTGCTTGTGTTCCTGTCCATGGTGGTTCCATGTCCATATGCCAAGAGCAGTTCTGCTCCAGAGATGAGCTCTGGGCATTGCTTAGGTGGCCCAGGCCACCTGCCCATAATCCTTGCTCATGACTCCAGTGAGAGGCTCCATAACTTAAACAATGAAGAGCAGCCTCCCTGGGGTTCTCCCTTCATATACAGCCTTGGGTATTCGTTCATCTCCATCCCTGTGGGCACCTCCATGTGCTGTGTCCGTGCCTTCCCGTGGAGCTGAGCGTGGCGAATGTGCTGGGCTGACCCAACTGGCACCCAAAAGGTGACAGCGAGGAAGGGAGATGCTCCAGCATCTGTGCTAGCCCAGTGGTCCCTGCACAGCCCTGCTCTCCTCTTGGCTGCAAGGAAAGCATATTTATTTTTCTTGCTATAGCAACAGCATCTTCTCTCCTAACAGGCAACTCAGGACTTCCAAAGACTTTCCATCTCCTACGTGCCGCCCTCCCTCCCTCACCTGGTTTTGTCATTCTCATGTTGTTGCCTGGTTTGCACACCCCAGGCTGGGCCATTTGTATGTATATCACTGCCCTTTGCTCCTGTCCCTTCCCCAGCAGTGTTCCAGACAGGCAGAGCTGGCCACCAGCCTGCACCCAATGAGTCCATATCCCTGTGCCTGCAGGGGTGTCTGCCTTGTTTTCCAGAGTATCTGCCCTTGATATCTTGCTGCAAGCAGCTGCCTGAGATGCCAGGGCATGGGAAGAGCAGGCCCGTGCCCTTGGATGGCTATCAGGGCCTGTCAATGAGCTGAGAGCCCAGGGAGAAGAGAAGGCTCTGACAGCTCTGCACTCCTGCTGAACAGCCCCCGGGGAGGATTGTGCCTGTGTTGTGCCCTTGCTCAACTGCAGCTGTTTCTCAGGAAGCACAGGTCAGTGCTGGGATAGCAATGCTGTACACATTATAAACCATAGGCAGAAAGTGAACGTTATGGTGGATAACTTTATTTTGAAACAGCTTGTCAGAACAAAGTAAGTAGAACACAAACCGTGCTGGTGCTTGGCATTAGGGGGCTGGTAGAGACCACCCCACCTTGGTTTGGTTGAGCTGCCCTCAGCTTCTGCCCTGCCAGGGGCAGCTGCCCTACACCTGCACTGAAAACCAGGCTGACATGTGCCAGCACTGGGCAGAAACTCTCTTGAAAAGCTCTAGGCCAGTGTGGTGCTGCATTTTTCCCCTGCCACGTCATACTATGATCTGAGAATCTTCTGAACCCTGCCAAAAAGTATTGCTGTGTTGGCTCGTGGACCAGCCCCATAGGCACAGGTGGTCCAGGAGGAGGAGATGGGGCTGGGGCTGTGCTGCAGTTCCAACTGCATGAGATGTCACTGTGCAGGAGCCAGCCCTGGCTTGGCACTTGCTACAAACCCCTTCACTGCCTGGGGTGTTGGACAGCGAGGCCAGCCTCGGAAGCAAGCAAATCATCATCATCATGGGTAGTGCTGTGCCTGGGAGGGCAGAATTCCAGGCTTTAAGGAATTCCAGGCACCCCACTGACCCTGCTGCTGCAGGATGAAGGCAGCTCGGTGTCACTGCCTGCCTTGTCTGTCTGATTTCCTCACCACCCTGCTTGCAGCTCCTCCGCACCCGCTGACAGCAATCTGTGGTTTGTGGCCTGTGTTAGCCCAGTCTCAGAAACCAAAATTTGAGGCATGCTTGTGATGTGTGCAGACAAGAACAGGAAATACGTGGTGTTGTGGGGGATAGCTGGATCTCTGGACAGAGGGTCCCAGAGCAGAAACTTCCTGTAGACTGAGTCGGTGACGAACAAAACTGTAAAACAACAAGGAGGAACAAACGATGGGAAGTGCCTGTCTGCCCAAGGCTGAGCTCAGTGTCTTGCCTGACCGCTTCCGGCCCGGTGCAGCTGAGCAAGAAGCTGAGCTGTGACTGCACATGGGCAGCCCCAGCAGAGCCTGGGCTTCACTGCAGGAACTCATCGTACTCCCTGGGGAGGGGAGAGCGCTCACAGCAGTCTCTCCTCGCTGCTGCTGGTCTGAATGTTTGGAGGGGAGAGGGAGCCATCAGAAGGGGTGCCACTGCAGCTTTGGCTCTGCTCTGGGGCTGCAAGACAGGACAAAACATAAGTGCACCTTGTGGAAGGAGGCGCTGGCTTGTCCCACTGTGGTTGTGTCTGAATGTGCCCAGTGTCCCTTTCAGCTGCACGAGCTGATCCTGCACCCATCCCTGCCGGGTACCAGGGAGCTGCCCTCAGCCCTTCTGGAGGAAGTTGACCAGATGGGCAAACACACACTCCAGGCTGGTCACAGGCAAGGCTCTTACCTGCTTGGGCTGATGCCGCTCCGGGCGCTGCTCCCGGGGCTGGGCCTGCTGCCGATGTGGAGGTTTGTACAACGAACTCTTCAGGTATTTGTAGAGGTTGCTTTTTAGGTGTAAGGGGTTATAAGCAACTTCCACTTCCAAGCTGTTCAGGGCACTCTGCTCAGGAGAAAGAACTGAGTTGCTATGGGATGTGACAAGTAGAGGCTGTGGGGTCTGTGTGTGGGGGGTTGTTGTTTTTAGCACTGGGAGGGGTGGTTTCCAGGGATGAGTGTTGCAGACACTCCATGCCACCCTGCAGTGATAGGGGAGGGGATCTTTGGCTGTGCTGCTACCCACAAGGAGCACTCTTAGCTGTGTAGGAACAAGAGGCATCTGCCACCAGGTCTTAATGGATTTAAGCATTCCCTTACAAGATGCAGTCCTATCCTTCCCCATGCCCAGAATCAGCTAACAAGCTGGAGCACCCTTTCTGGACACTGTCACCCTCAACTCTGCCTCGTAAGACTTCTTCCCACTCTCTGCAACAGACATACAACATTGCTCTAAAAGACAGGCATTAACTGTCCATGAAGAAAGCTGTAGGATATGTCCTCTGCTGGAAAGAAGTTTTGGAGTGCTCCATCATATTCCAGCTATCACTAGACATCTTCCCAGCCATTTCCTTCTCTGTTTATCTGCTAAGGCTATAGTGAGAGCTCTGCCTTTCCTGGCAGCACCTGGAGCAGAGGTAGACAACTTGGCAGAACAGGAAATGCAGAAGCCTGAATCTACTGGAAGAAACAGAGGTACTCTATGTATTGATTTATCTATTGCCTAAAGCACCTCTCTCTGAAGTAGGAGGAGATCTGTGTTCCCTGGCAATGAGGGAGATGGCTTCAGCAGCAGCTGCAGGGCCTGTGCATAGGGCTGATCATTGCTCTGATCTCTGCCTGTACCGCTGGACCTTTGCACAGGGGTTAGAGCAGGGCTGCA